GCCTGAAGGCTGGGGCGGAGCCTGAAGGCTGGGGCGGAGCCTGAAGGCTGGGGCGGAGCCTGAAGAATGAGGCGGAGCCTGCCGGCTGGGGCAAAACTTGTGGATGGGGCAGAGCCTGCAGGATGAGGAAGAGCCCGCGAGAAGAGGCGGAGCCTATGGGATTGGGCGGAGCTTGCCTCTTGGACAGGGATGAGGTGTTCTGGGAAGAATGGACGTGCCATGCTTTCTCTTTGGCTTTGCAGTCTTCCTCCAGATGCGTCCATCCTGTGGGCCACACAGGGCTCTAGGAAGCACCCCAAGAACTTGCAAGCGAACAGGCTAGGCGATGGGCCACAGGCAAGCGGTGTTGTGTAGTGGTGTAGAGCCAGGAGTCCCCAGTTCGAATCCTGCCCCCACCAGCTTCTAGCCCTGTGACTCGCCATTCCACCCTCGGTGAAATGGGACCCTTGCGAGATTGGAAGGAACCGGGCCGGGAAAAAGAGCTTAGGGCAATGGCTTGTTCAGAGATTTTCGTGTTGTTGGTTTGCGTGCGGCTTGTGGTGCGGTCGTGCCCAGGGGAGCGGAGCAGTGCCCTTTGGAATGTCCCAGGCCTTTGTGAAGGCCACTGTGCATTTTTATTTCCCACCAACCTGGGAAAAGGTGTCCTGGTGACGCCGTGGGTGATGCGTTGGGCTGCTACTCGCAAGGTCAGCAGATTGAAACCAGCAGCCGCTCCATGGGAGAAAGACGAGGCTTTCGACTCCGTAGAGTGAGTCTCAGAAACCCACAGGGGCAGGTCAGCTCCTTCCTGTGAGTCATTAAGGACTCCTCCGTGGGCGTGCGTTTTGTTTTCTTTTTGTTCGGTTTCCGGTCTGTGAGTGACCTCCGTGCATAACAGAGCCAAGGCTGCCCCGTCCTGCAGCCGCCGTGCCATGTCAGTCCAGGGTCTTCCTCCTCTTCGCTGCCCTGCGAGTTTACCAAGCACGAGGCCCATCTTCAGGGCTTGGTGTCTCCGGATAACCTATGCAGAGTCCGTGAGGCACGAGGGCACCTCCCCATCCTGGCTTCTAAGGGGCCCCCCTGGCTGTGTACTTCTTTCAAGGCAGATTTGTATGTTCTTTGGTT